TGGAAGAGAAGGGATTGCGGCGTGGCCATCCCCCCCGGGGGATGATTTCTCTCTTTCTGTCTCTCGGTCTCTCTCTGTCTTTCTGGCGAGCGCACGTGCCCTATAGCGAAAATCACTCCCAAATTAAATAAATAATAATAATAAATAAAATTAAATAGCTCTTTTCTTAAAAAATGGCAGTTAACATGTAGATGGGCACTGAGCAAAGTACCTTAATATCTTAATATGATCTGATTTAAATACCACAATCCCCCTAGGAGTAAGTGCTACCAATGTTCCCATTTTACATGAAAAGAAAGAAAATACAGATAATTTATGTAAGTTAGACAGAGCCACGTAGCTACCGAAAGGTACAGATAAACCCCACATCTAGGTACCTCTAAACACCAGGCCAGAGACCTATATGTCCTCAAGAATTTCTTTCTTTTAATTATTAATTTAACTTTATTTATTATTATTATTATTATTTATTTCACTAGAAAGAGAGAGAAAGCAAACCAAGTCTGGGACTCAAACCATTGTCAGCCAGGTGGGAGTCTAGCGCTTTAATCACCATGCCATCTGCAAGTCACAGCCCCATCAAGGATTTCAACTGAAACAATTATGCCAGTGATAGCACAAAAAAGCACAGACTGGCATTAGACAGTGGTACAGTGGTAAAACGTGATGTTCTGCAGGGATGACTCAGTGGCTTGGGGATCACGCCGGGCCCATGTGCGTGCATGCCCCAAATCCTGAGAGAAGCATGGAGGAGAAGAGATCGGTGTGGCCATCCCCACTGGGCGATGACTTCTCACTTCTGTCTCTCTGTCTCTCTGGTGAGTGCATGCACCCTATAGCAAAAATATCTCTCAAAAAATAAAAAAGAATGTCACCTGATCAGATCCATGAAGGCGTCGGCTGTAGGGATAGTCTCAATGCGGCCCTCACGGTGCAGCCCCTCCTTGGAGCCCTTCCCAGGATGGATGATGGTGACCATGAGGATGCCGATGAAGACGGCGATGACCGTGGTCACCATGTAGTACACAGCTGCTCGCATCCCCATCCGCCCGGTCGCCTTGTTGTCCAGGGACGCCATGCCTGTACGGATAGACGATGCAGCCTCCCATGGTCCCATCTACACCCCACCAAGAACTCTCCCATCCATATCCCATCCATCCACTCTACCAGCTCAACAGCCATTCCACCAGCCATCCCCTCCTCCTGCGTCCCACCCCAGAACCCACCCATCCATTCACCCACCACCATCCTTCCATCTTCATTCTATTTCCATGTGCACCCTCCACCCTACCCATCCTGCATTCTGAGCTGCACTCCACTAACCACCCTGCCTTCCCTCTACTCCTAACCAACCTTTGCAACCCCCACCCCTCCCTCTATTGACACCCCATTTTACACAATAACTGCACTTTCCTTTTGTTTCTTTTGGATTTTTTAATTTCTATTTGGTAGAAGGCATGTGCCCTCTCTGCAGAGAGCAGAGAGAGACAGAGAGAGAAAGGGAGAAAGTGAGAAAGAGCCTCTCATGAGGAACGGCTATACACAATTCATTCTCCACCATGTCTCTTTTTGGAATTCTGGGCTCACATGCACACATGTCCAGGATAGGTCCAGAACTTGAATAGCACATTTGTCCATGTGGGATCCAAACCATTTCTTAAGACTTACTTATTTAATTTTATTTTATTTTTATTATTATTTGCAATCAGGCATGTGTGCCCACCAAAGAGAGAGGGAAAGTGAGTAAGCAAGCCACCAGGTCCAGGACTTGAACCATAGTTGGCCATGGGGAAGTCCAGTGCCTTAACCACCACACTATCTGCTGGCCCATGACCTCACTTCATTCCACTCTTCATCCCACCATCCATCCCAAAATCCAACCTCCCTCCAACCCACCCTACCACACACTCTCTGAGGCAGAGTTTTTGTAAGACAGAGTCTCACTGTGTTGACAGCCTACTTCAGCTTCCTCTAGTTCCTGGGACAACCGGCAGGTCCCCCATGCCCAGTCTTTAGGGCTGGACCAGGAATCAAACCCAGGCCTCTTAGGCAGCCCCAGATGCACAGTGCAGTGTCTTAGCAGCCTTTGTAGTAGACATTGTCAATGCCCCACCCAGATGCCCTTACCAAGCCAATGCAACTTATCCTTCAGCTGCTGTAGAGTGTTGGCTGCTCCCAGCTCAGGTTGCTCCATTCTCCTAAGAATGGTCCCTTGCAGAACAGGAGCTGCCTTGCCCAGAAAGACCCCAAGGCAAGCCTACAGCCAATGCCTAATTATACAAGGATTCAAAAAGCCAGCTCCTTTTGACTCAGGTGGGAGCAGAATGGAAGAGACAATTCTGTTCACATTCCAGGGCTCCCAGTGGAATCAGGCTAGGAGATCAGCCTTCTTCTGAACTTACATCCTGGCTGGGAACCAGCAGATGGCATAGCAGTGACATCACTGAACTCCAACATGGCTGACTGTGGTTCAAGTCCTGGGCCTGGTGACTTGAAAAACACACCAGGTTCATGTGTGTGCATGCCCGAGGTCCCAGGAGAATAGAGGAGAAGGGATTACGGCGTGGCCATCCCCCCTGGAGTGTGATTTCTCACTTTCCCTCTCTCTGTCTCTGTCTCTGTCTCTCACTCTCTCTCTGGCAAGTGCGTGTGCTCTACAAAAAAAAAAATCTCTAAAAGAAAGAAAGAAATAGAGAAAAAGAGAGAGGGGAAGAAAGAAAGAGAAAGAAAAAGAAAGATAGATATGAGTTTATGTCCTTGGTTTAGCTTCTATCTCTGCCCTGTCCCACTTCTCTCAGTTCCTTGTGGGTTTCTCTTAAGAGCTAGTCCTCAAGAAATCATTTGAACAAATATCCCCATATCTCAGGCTCTACTTCTAGAAAACCCAACCAAAAAAACCATTCTTTCATATCTTTTTCTTTTTTTGTTTGTTTGTTGGTTGGTTGTTTTTGGTTTTGTTTTGGTTTGTTTCGTTTGGTTTTTTGAGAGATTTTTGTTATAGGGTGGGTGAGCATGCCAGAGAGACAGAAAGCGAGAAAGCACCCCCAGGGAGGATGGCCACACCACAATCCCTTCTCCTCCATTCTCCTCTCAGGCTCTTGGGCATGGACACATACGTATCACTGAACTCCAACATGGCTGACTGTGGTTCAAGTCCTGGGCCTGGTGACTTGAAAAACACACCAGGTTCATGTGTGTGCATGCCCGAGGTCCCAGGAGAATAGAGGAGAAGGGATTACGGCGTGGCCATCCCCCCTGGAGTGTGATTTCTCACTTTCCCTCTCTCTGTCTCTGTCTCTGTCTCTCACTCTCTCTCTGGCAAGTGCGTGTGCTCTACAAAAAAAAAAATCTCTAAAAGAAAGAAAGAAATAGAGAAAAAGAGAGAGGGGAAGAAAGAAAGAGAAAGAAAAAGAAAGATAGATATGAGTTTATGTCCTTGGTTTAGCTTCTATCTCTGCCCTGTCCCACTTCTCTCAGTTCCTTGTGGGTTTCTCTTAAGAGCTAGTCCTCAAGAAATCATTTGAACAAATATCCCCATATCTCAGGCTCTACTTCTAGAAAACCCAACCAAAAAAACCATTCTTTCATATCTTTTTCTTTTTTTGTTTGTTTGTTGGTTGGTTGTTTTTGGTTTTGTTTTGGTTTGGTTTCGTTTGGTTTTTTGAGAGATTTTTGTTATAGGGTGGGTGAGCATGCCAGAGAGACAGAAAGCGAGAAAGCACCCCCAGGGAGGATGGCCACACCACAATCCCTTCTCCTCCATTCTCCTCTCAGGCTCTTGGGCATGGACACATACGTACCTGGTGTGAGTTTCAAGTCACCAGGTCCAGGACTCGAACCACTGTCAACAATGTGAGAGTCTAGCACCTTAACGACTATGCCAGCACGTACCTTTCTCTTTATCCCCATCCTCAAATCCAGGGAGTGGCAAACAACTGTCCCTGAGCCAAATGTGGGCCACTTCCTGTTTTTATAAATAAAGTTTTGTTTAAACACCACCGTGCCCATTGTCCGCATATTATCAATGGCTGCTTTGTGCTACAGCTGTAGAACTAGTAACAACAGAGATTACACGGCCCTTGAAGGTGAAATGTTGATTATCTTGCCCTTATAAAAGTTGTCAGAATCAAAATAGAGTCTTTCGGGTCAACTTGTGCTGCACCCTGATAAAACGGAGCCAGGAAGGGCATGGTGGAGCTGTTCTCTCATGCTAGAACCCCTGATAACAAGAACTGTTATTTAAAGAACTCTACTAGAACCACAACTTTGCACAAAGAACACAGCCCTGACACTAGAACTACTGCAAAGCATCTGCCCTAAGATAGCCTGTCCAAACTTGGATTGACGGCCATCTTGTTAGTGAGAGCCAAGGGTCGTTGTCCCAAAATGACTGGAATAACACCCTCTGCCTCCTTCACACATTTGGGGGCTTTGCCCTTATAAATCCCCTACTCTGTAAGGTCAACCATGGCTTAAATCCCAGACCCAGTGGCTTAAAAATCACACTGAGCATGTGCGCATACGTGCCCAAAATCCCAGGAGAAGAATGGAAGAGAAGGGATTGTGGCATGGCTATCGTCCCCTAGGGAGTGATTTCTCACCTTCCCGCTCACTGTCTCTTTCTGACAAGCACAAGCACCCTATGGAAAAACCTTAAGAAAAAAATCTGCTTGAGGGGATCAAGAGGTGGCATGGTGGTTAAGGCACTGGTAGGCACGTAGCTGACTGCATAGTTCAAGCCCCGAATCTGAAGGCTTGAAAATCACACTCTGTGTGTGTCCATGCATGCCCAAAATTCCAAAAGAAGAGACAGGAGAAGGGATTTGGGTATGGCCATACCCCCTGGCACTCTCTCTCTCCAGCAAGAACACATACCCTATAACAAAAAACTAAAAATCAAAAAAAATCTGCTTGAGGATTGTAAGACTTTGATACACATGTTCAGGGCAACCTGAGTCCACTTAGGCTGTATGCCAGACTTCAGTCCTCACATTCAACCTAAATGAACTCCTTTTGGGAGCCAGCAGGTGGCATGGTGGTTAAGGTGCTAGATACTCCCACATGGCCAACCACAGTTCGAGTCCCAGACCTGGTGGCTTGTTTTCTCACTTTCTCCCTCTCTGTCCCTCTCTGGTCAAATTAAAATAAATGAATGAATAAATAAAATTAAATAAATAATTCTTTGAAAATCAAAATAACAAAGAAACTCCTTTTGCTTTATACACCTGGTCTCAGTTTCCCTCTTTTTTTTTTTTTTGGAGAGGTTTTTAGTTTTTGGGTTTTTTTGCTATAGGGCACATGCGCTCGCCAGACAAACAGAGAGAACAGAGAGACAGAAAGCGAGAAATCACCCCCCAGGGGGGATGGCCACACCACAATCCCTTCTCCTCCATTCTCCTCTTGGGATCTTGGGCACGCACGCACACGCGCCTGGCCTGAGTTTTAAGCTACCGGTCCGGGACGCGAACCGCGGTCGACTACGTGGGAGTCCAGCGACATAGCCATTACGCCAACTGCTGGTCCCTCAGTTTACCTCTTAGGTTGATACCATCTAATAGAACAGGTCTGCAGACTCCAGTATAATCCAGCCAGGTTCTCATCCCACCCTTTACTCACTACCCTGTCCCTTCCTTCTCCCCTGCCAGCTACACCTTTCTTGGCATCCTATCCCCTGCCCATCCACACCTTATCCTAGCTACTCCTCGGGCTGTCCCGTCCACAGCCTTTCCTTCACCTCTGGAATGATATACAAGCCCTTTACACATGGTATGCTCCCTCCAAGGAAAAATAGAAGCGACTTCAAAAACTTGGTGAGGAAATGGAATGAAAGCATGACTTCACGGGCCAGCTGGTGGCAACGGTGGTTAAAGTGCTGGATCCCACACGGCTGATGACATGGTTCAAGTCCCAGCTTAAAAACATGCTGAGCACTGGGACCGGCAATTGGCATAATGGCTATGTTGCTGGACCCCCATATAGTCGACCGTGGTTCAAGTCCCGGACCCGGTGGCTCAAACTCACACTGGGCACATATGCTTGCATGCCCAAGATCCAGAGAGTAGAATGGAGGAGAAGGGATTGCGGCATGGCCATCACCCCCTGGGAGGTGATTTCTCTCTCTTTGTCTCTCTCTGTCTTTCTGACAAGCGCACGCGCCCTACAGCAAAAACTTCTTAAAAAAAAAAAAAAGAAAAAAAAAAGAAAAAACATGCTGGGCACATGCCTGTCCAAAATTCTGAAAGGAGAAAAATATAAAGGAGAAAGGATGGCAGCATGGCCATCACCCCCTGGGGGGGTTGCTTTCTCAATTCTTTCTCGCTCTCTCTCGCTCTCTCTCTCTCTCTCCCTCTCTCTTTCTCTCTGGCAAATACATGTGTCTTATAACACTTTTTTTTTTAAATAAATAAAGGATAAGTTTATAAATTTTTAACCCATGTATAGTTTTTTTTTCATAACACATATTCTCCATAAGCTTTTCAAAGAATTCTGGTACGAGAAAGCTACTGAGATAAGTGGAATGGGTCCTGTGGTCTAGAACCAGGGTCTGATTGAGACCTGGGCTTTGGCTACATGGAGGTTCCATGTTGGAGGGGCGGAGTTGGGGACATGGTCTCATTCTTGCAATAGCCTTGTCCCCAAGTTCGAGTGTGGAATGCAGATGGGTCTCTGAGACCAGCCGTGGCCTGGACGCTCACCTGTGACCAGGCTGGAGACAATGAGCGGCAGGACCCGCATCTGCAGC